GCCTCTTGAAATATTAATACTATTAGCAGTCATAGCTGAATGGTGTTGTGTATGCTTGGAAGGACGTGTTCTAATTTGTTATGTTGAAAAGAGAAAGGCAATTGAGCAAGGTTAATTGTCAACTCTACTGGGTTTATTGTGATTGTTCAGCAGTTTTCATCGTTGTGCTTAGAGTGTCCTACTGTCATTATTAAGGATTAAGTAAGGAAACCCTTTCCTTATTCAATCTTAGATAAAGCTGGAATTTAATTATGTTCCCATGAAAATATACAAAATCATCTTCGGTATTGAAACAATTTTGTAGGGCCTAACCTAGGTAAACTGGCACAATCATAAGGGTATCTTTTTCATGGGCACGGAAGTGATTAATTAATTGAACAAACGAACATGTACATACAACTGTTTTGTTTGTAGACCAAGACATATCTGTCTACTAGCAACTGTGAAGTGCTGTTACATTGAATAGCATTTTATGACAATTAAAAATGTTTTAATCAGTACCGCACATTAGTGTAGGGAAAGGTACACAACAAACACTTACAAAGGATTAAAAACAATTTCTCATCACATTATAATGATAATAATGCTTTGTTTTAGGAAGGTACAACTCATTTAGCAAACAATAAAGCTTAAGGCTAATCTCCCATGAGGCCCTCTTTAAAGAGGTACACAAACATAGATGAATATACCGGTAGATTGTATAACAACAAAACAATCAATAATCAACATGCACTCAATATTATTCATAATAGTACAAAAATATATGAAAATAGACAGACGGCTTTTATGAAACAAATTTCATAAAAGGCCGCTGATCTAATCAGAGGAATTTTGTGATTATTTTTCCATTGATGAATTACTTTATTTTGTAAATTAATATCTTATGAAATGATCGAAGTGGAAAAGATAAAAAATAAAAGATGCCACAGTTTTTGCCTCGTGACACAGCTCTTTACTTGTGACATCACTTTGTCTGAACAGGTGATGTGTTATTTCACTGAATCATTGTAAGATCATAGTATAAATAAACATTTATAATTCTAACATAACCAGAGATGTATGATTATAAATGTGCAGTGTATGGTAAAGCTAGAATTTCGTGAAGGGAACTATTCCCCTTAAATGATAAAGAAGTAATATCAGTATTTTTGTGTGACAATCCCAGATTTTATTTTTCCTAGAAAATTTGATCAGAATAAACCACTAGTGTTAAGTATCAGTTACATCCTGTTAGGTATCCTGTGGTTCTGTAGGTTCTTATACCTGGAGGTGAAAGTCAAGACATGTCAGTTAAAAAATTATATTACAGGTTAGTTGGGTTTATACTGAGGCCAAACAAAACTTAGTGTGTGTTTCAGGATCCTGATCATCAAAACAGATTTAACATGCTATTTAATGAAATAATATTGCAGCATTTATATCACATACATTAATTAAACATGTAGTGACAGGTGCCAATAAGAACATACTTTCTCGGTTTGTCCACTTGTCTGAATATTTTGAAAGAAAACATAGTTCCTTATTTCCATCTGTTTGTATGTGCTGTTTAGTTGTTAGCGTGCATTTGTTCCAATTAAGTTCAAAGATGAGTAGAATCTGTGCATGTTTAATAAGGTTGCTGCACGTTCTTCCTCATTACTGATTGGCTGGCACTCCTGAGGAGTTATCCGAGTCTCTATCCTGAAGAGTTATCCGAGTCTCTATCCTGAGGAGTTATCCGAGTATCTATCCTGAGGAGTTATCAGAGTCTCTATCCTGAGGAGTTATCTGAGTATCTATCCTGAGGAGTTATCCGAGTATCTATCCTGAGGAGTTATCCGAGTCTCTATCCTGAGGAGTTATCCAAGTATCTATCCAGGGATAGGTCATGTTATAGTCAGGAAGCTAAGAGGGAAAGGGTAACATAGATAACAACATAAACCTTACAGCTTATATACCTAATACATATGCGAGTCAATTTTACATCCTTGTATGAAGATTTTACCAGTAGTTGTCACCGGCAGTATATTATAATCATAGCAAAACATGGAGTACAAATGGGTTAAATGTGTTACTGCAGCGAATTCTCCAAGTCCATTCAACTTTGTTATACATTTGTTATCTATTTAACAATAAACACATTAGTTGCTTATTTCGTATTTACACTTTTATTAGCTCACCTGGTCCGAAGGACCATGGTGAGCTTATGACATACCGCAGCGTCCGTCCGTCAACTTTTCCTTAAAAACGCTACTAGTCCTGAACTGCCAAGTAGATTTTGACTAAATTTGGTCTGGAGCATCCTTAGGCCAAGGACTCAGTTTTGTATAAACGGTGGGTGTGGCCCCCCTGGGGGCAGTTGGGCAGGGCCAAATAGGGGAAATAGAGGTAAAACCTTTAAAATCCTTCTTCTACCGTAGGGATTTAGAGATTTTATCCTAATTTAGTCTGGAGCATCCTTGGGCAAATGGGACTAAATTTTGTATAAATGGTGGGTCTGGCCTCCCTGGGTTCTGAGGGGCGGGGCCCAATAGGGGAAAAATAGCAAATTCTTTAAAATCCTTCTCATTCTGTAGGAATGAAAGAATTTGGTCCATATTTGGTCTGAAGCATTCTTGGGTGCAGGGGAACCAATTTTGTATAAAAAGTGGGTCTGGCCCCCCTGGGGGCTGAGGGGCGGGGCCCAATAGGGGAAATATAGCATTTTTTTTTTAAACATTCATCTTGTGTAGGAATGAAAGGATTTGTTTCATATTTGGTCTTAAATATCCTTGGACTTTGGGGGACCTATTTTGAATAAACCATGGGTCTGGCCCCCAGGGGCCTGAGAAGCGGGGCCCAATAGGGGAAACAAAGATTTTTTTTCTATAAAATCCTTCTTCTTCTGTAGTAATGAAAGGATTTGGTCAGAAGCATCCTTGGGGGGAAGGGGAACAAAATTTGTATAAACCATGGGTGTCCGTCCGTCCCCCCCCCCGGGGGATGAGGGGCGGGGCTCAATAGGGGAAACAGCAAAATATTCTTTAAAATCCTTCTTATTCTGTAGGAATGAAAGGATTTGGTCCATATTTGGTCTGAAGCATCATTGGGTGAAGGGGAACCAATTTTGTATAAACTGTGGGTCTGGCCCCCCAGGGGACTGAGGGATGGGACCCAATAGGGGAAATAGAAGTAAAACCTTTATATTCCTTCTATATACCATAGGGATTAAGGGTTTTTATCCTTATTTAGTCTGGAACATCCTTGGAAAAAAAGGGACTAAATTTCATTTAAACAGCAATGTCCCCTCCCCCCCCTTCTCGGGGCAAAAGGGAGGGGCCCTAGCAAATTTTTCATATACCTTCTTCTGTACGAATGACAGGATTTTGTCCAAATTTTGTATGAAGCATCCTTGGGTGAAGGGGAATCAATTTTGTTTAAGCGGTGTGTCTAACCCCCCTGGAGGCAGAGAGGTGGGGTCCAATAGGGGTAAATAGAGGTAAAATCTTTAAAATCTTTCTTCTACCATAGGGATTAAGGGATTTTATCCTAATTTAGTCTGGAGCATCCTTGGGTCAAGGGGACTCAATTTTGTATAAGCAGTGGGTGTGGTCTCCCAGGGGGCAGAAGGGCATAAGGGTGGGGCCCAATATGAGAAATAGAGGTAAAACCTTTAAAATCCTTCTTCGACCATCAGGATTAAGGGATTTTATCCTTATTTAGTCTGGAGCATCCTTGGGCCAAAAGGTCTCCCTTTTGTATATAATTGGTGGGTATGACCTTCCTAGGAGCATAGGAGTGAGGCTCTGTTTAAAGTCTGTTCTTGCTATATCTATAGTACTGGATGGATATTTCTGAAATTTCATATGCACCTACCATGGAGTGCTATATCTTTACTTCATACCAATTATTTTAAACATATTCAGGTGAGCGATACAGGCCCTCTGGGCCTCTTGTTAAATATTTTGTGTAAGAACTTTGTTATATTGTATAATAACGAGATATAGAGGATATTTAATGGTGTCCTCAGTAATAACAAATATATTTCACTAGTGTGGCTAATATATTGATATTGTTTCACAAGTGCGCAGCACGAGTGAAAAATGTCAAAATAAAGGACACAAGCATTAAATTTTCTATTTATTACATTTTTAAAGCATAAAACATAAAAAATGTGATGCACTAAAAAAAGGGAGGGAATCAGAAGCGTAATAATTAGCGCATATTCTAATGACGTCATGCCTGACAACAAGGCTGCCCGCCATTTTGATTGGATACTCAACGCAATTCCAACGTTTTCTGCTATTTTCTGGTGTGATTGCTTATAAAAATGTTATTAATTGTATATTCATGTAAATACTTAAATGTGTGTACCAAACATTTACCATAACAACCACTTATTCTATCGTCGCTTCATTTGAATCGGATTTATGAAAGGTCAATACCAAAAAGTGTTATTTTCACAGTGTGAATATCACTTTTGATATTTGTCGCAGTTTGAAAGATATCAGTTTTATCAAATCCGATATTTCACTGACAAAAATGTAATAAATGCCTTTGTTATACATTTCTTATAACAATGAACTCTGTATTACAGAGCTTGTACAACAACATATAATGAAAGCTTTTTACAAAGTACAATTTTGTCATAGCTTAATTAGTTAATTTATGTACCTAAACAAAAAAAGGTCAAGCAGGTTTGCAATCATGAGTCTTTATAATGATAACAAATTATTTGGAAACTTTAGGTTGTTACAGACTAAATAACTGATGTGTATGTAAATATGATGATGATTGCATGTACATCATTCTCATGATCACTAGTTTAACTTATAATCACTTAATTCATAGTATTCCATCAGTTGGTTCTGAGTGACAAGACCATTTCAAACAGAAGTACAAAAATGTATCTTTATAATTAACTGTTTAAGAATACAGAACTCAGTTCAAAAACAAATGTTATATTTTATTTGTATCCTAATCATGCTTACAATTTCCTATAGTATATGCAACAATAGGGAATACTTAAAATATATACTTGCCTCATTGCTCAATGTCTGTGCTGTTTATGTCAAGTAAAGCACCTTGTTGAAGACAATACCTGTTGATATTGCCCAGAATAAATTACAGCCGGTGTAGATCTGTAGCAGTATTTACTTTCTGTTCTTATCTTGAAAATGGTTGCAATCTCAGGTGAAGTCAGGATATTAGGGCTCTTGTACACACTAGAGGTCCTGTATGTAAACAAACCAGCTGTTATAATCCACTTTCTTAAGTATGTAATATACTGCTTCAGCCTGTAGGAGGAATTGTTCTGCGCCTCGTCACTAAAGTATCACAATGGAGACATTACTGCCGTCAGATATGTGGGATACTTTCTTCTCCTTCCTGTTTCCGATTTTATACCGGTTTGTGTCATAATCAAAGTGCAGACATTTGACACTTGTATAACATTGTGTGTATAAAGAGGACATGAACAGTATCAGTTTGATTTAACACTATCTTTAATACAGGGTCATACGAGATACAACTAGTTTGTTTAGGGTGGCGTTAATTGATAAGTGAAGGACATGTCATAGGTGACCAAGACTGATATAGAGATACAGAGACCTATTTTATCATTGTGCAAGATCTGCTTTAAAATGATTCATAACTAATGTCACATCATTTTACTTGGTGGACATCAGTGCAGAAGATCTTATTAACATGCACAGGTTAAAAATATTACAAGTTTCACCGTTTGCATATTGAGCATCTTGATTTAGATTTTTAGGTCACCTGAGCTTTAGCTCAAGTGACCTATTGCTATCCATTTTCGTCCGTAGTTGTCCGTTAACATTTTACATTTCAACCTTAAAGTCAAGTTCTGCTGGGCCGATTGAACTGAAAAATGGTAGGAATGATCGCCTCATGGTCCTAACAAAGTGTTGTTATTTTTCGGGTCAATCAGAAATCCAATATGGCCGCCACGGCCGCCATTTTGAAAAACTATTTCAAACTCAAAGTCAAGTTCTGCTAGGCCGATTGAACTGAAAGTTGGTAGGAATGATCTACTCATGGTCCTGACAAAGTGTTGTTATTTTTCAGGTCAATCAGAAATACAATATGGCCACCACGGCCGCCATTTTGAAAAACTATTTCAAACTTAAAGTAAAGTTCTACTTGGCCGATTGAACTGAAACTTTGTAGGAATGATCGAATCGTTGTCCTGACAAAGTGTTGTTATTTTTCGGGTCAATCAGAAATCCAATATGGCCGCCACGGCCGCCATTTTGAAAAACTATTTCAAACTCAAAGTCAAGTTCTGCTAGGCCGATTGAACTGAAAGTTGGTAGGAATGATCTACTCATGGTCCTGACAAAGTGTTGTTATTTTTCAGGTCAATCAGAAATACAATATGGCCACCACGGCCGCCATTTTGAAAAACTATTTCAAACTTAAAGTAAAGTTCTACTTGGCCGATTGAACTGAAACTTTGTAGGAATGATCGAATCGTTGTCCTGACAAAGTGTTGTTATTTTTCGGGTCAATCAGAAATCCAATATGGCCGCCACGGCCGCCATTTTGAAAAACTATTTCAAACTTAAAGTAAAGTTCTACTTGGCCGATTGAACTGAAACTTTGTAGGAATGATCGAATCGTTGTCCTGACAAAGTGTTGTTATTTTTCGGGTCAATCAGAAATCCAATATGGCCGCCACGGCCGCCATTTTGAAAAACTATTTCAAACTCAAAGTCAAGTTCTGCTAGGCCGATTGAACTGAAAGTTGGTAGGAATGATCTACTCATGGTCCTGACAAAGTGTTGTTATTTTTCAGGTCAATCAGAAATACAATATGGCCACCACGGCCGCCATTTTGAAAAACTATTTCAAACTCAAAGTCAAGTTCTGCTAGGCCGATTGAACTGAAAGTTGGTAGGAATGATCTACTCATGGTCCTGACAAAGTGTTGTTATTTTTCAGGTCAATCAGAAATACAATATGGCCACCACGGCCGCCATTTTGAAAAACTATTTCAAACTTAAAGTCAAGTTCTGCTGGGCCGATTGAACTGAAAGTTTGTAGGAAGGATCAACTCATGGTCGTGACAAAGTGTTGTTATTTTTTGGGTCGATCAGAATTCCAATATGGCCGCCACGGCCGCCATTTTGAAAAACTATTTCAAACTTAAAGTCAAGTTCTGCTGGGCCGATTGAACTGAAAGTTTGTAGGAAGGATCAACTCATGGTCGTGACAAAGTGTTGTTATTTTTTGGGTCGATCAGAAATCCAATATGGCCGCCACGGCCGCCATTTTGAAAA